GGCTAGCCATTTGCAGAAATTGAAACTGGACCCCTGCCTTACACTTTATACAAAAATTAACTGAGGATTAAAGATTTAAACTATGAAACTCTAAAAACCCTAGAAGAAAATCTAGGTAGTAGCATTCGGGACATAGGCATAGGCAAAGATTTTATGATGAAATCCCCAAAAGCAATTTTAACAAAAGCAAAAATTGACAAACTGGATCTAATTAAACTATAGAGCTTTTGCACAGCAAAAGAAACTGTGACCAGTGTGAACAGACAGTGTATAGTATGGGAGAAAGTTTTTGCAATCCATCTGACAAAGATCTAAAATCTAGAGTCTATATAAATTTACAAGAAAAAAAACAACCCCACTAAAAAGTGGGGAAAGGACATGAACACACTTCTCAATAGAAGACATACATGTGGCCAAAAAACATATGAGAAAAAGTTCAGCATCACTGATCATTAGAGAAATGGAAATCAAAAGTGCAGTGAGATACCATCTCACACCAGTAAGAATGGCGATTATTAAGAAGTCAAGAAACAACAGATGCTGGTGAGGTAAAGAGAAACAGGAATGGTTTTACACTATTGGTGGGAATGTAAATTAGGGACCTCTTGGGAAGGGGTGGGAGTAGGGAGAGCAAAACGAAAATGCAAGAAAATTGAAGAATATACAGATTTCAAGGAAAGAGTTTCATAGGAGTGTATTTACTTTTTCAACACTTATGAGTGTTTATGCAACAATCCCCCACTGAACTGCAATGTTTATTTTAAATTCTGAGGTCAGTCTACCAGGTTGTTCACAGATGTGATGAGTCAGGGATAGAATGGTTTACTGAGGAACAATCTACTTAGCAATACTAGAAAGTTAGTTTAGGTAATTTTAAAAATAGCATTGTGACTCTTTCATAAGCAGACTACTACTTGCTTAGTTACTACATATACTATGGTAAACATTTGATCCTTATTTGATACTCATTGCACCCATTCTCTAAATTTTATTTTTAATTTAAAAATGATTGATTTGTTGATTGCTTAACCCAGCAGTCCCCAGCCTTTTTGGCACCAGGGACTGACTTTATGGAAGACAATTTTTGCATGGACCAGGGAGGGGTGGGGGATGGTTTCAGGATGAAACTGTAGGCTGATCACATCAGATCATCGGGCATTAGTTTCTCATTAAAGAGCATGCATCCTTGATCCCTCATATGTGCAGTTCACAATAGAGTTTATGCCCCTATGAGAGTTTAATGCCACTTCATATTTGACAAGAGGCAGAGCTCAGGTGGTAATGCATGCTCACCCACCACTCATGTCCTACTGTGTGGCCCGGTTCCCAGCAGGCCAAAGACCAGATATACATATGGCAGATAAGCATAGGTAAAGATACTCAACATCATAAGTTATCAGGGAATTGCAAATTAAAATAACACCGAGATCCCACTGTATACCTATTTGCAGGATTAAGATTCCAAACAGTGACAACATAAAATGCACACAAGAATGTGGAGCGACAGAAACTTATTTATTGCTGGTGGGAATGCAAAATGTTACAACCACTTTGGAAGACCGTTTAACAGTTTCTTACAAAATTGTACATACTCTTACCATATGATCCAGCAATTTTGCTCCTTGGTATTTACCCAAGTGAGTTGAAAACTTAAGTCTGTGGAGATCTGCACACAAATGTTTATAGCAGCCCTATTCTTAATTGCCAAAACTTGGAAACAACCAAGATATCCATCAGCAGACACTGGATTAACAAACTGTGGCACATGTATACAATAGAATTATTCAGTGATAAAAAGAGTAAGTTTTCAAGCCACAAAAAGACATGGAAAAACTTTAAAAGCACATACGGATAAGTAAAAGAAGCTAATCTGAAAAGGCTACATACATTATTCCAATTGTATGACGTTCTGGAAAAAGATAAACTAAGACAGTGAAAACATCAGTGGTTGCCAAGGGGCCCAGGAAATGGAGGAAAGAATGAATAGATGGAACACAGAAGATCTTTAGGGCAGTAAAACGATTCTGTATGGTACTCTAATGTGGACACATGTCATTATAAATTGTCAAAACCTGTAAAACATATAGCACAAAGAATGAGGCTTAATGTAAAACTATGGAGTTTAATAATGATATATTACCATTGGCACATTCATATAACAGATGTGCCATGCTAATGCAAGATGTTAATAATAGTGGAAACTGTGTGTGTGTGGTAGGGTATGTATGAACTCTCTTAAGTTTTTCTATAAGCTCAAAACTGCTTTTAAAAATAATAAAATCTATTAATTAAAAAGAATCCAAGACCCCAGGATTCTTCTTCTATTGATTTTTACTTTTTCAGATGGCACGGTAACTTTTCCTTTAATGTAAATACATGCTTAGTTTATTTGAAATACGTGAATACTCAAAACTAGTGATTCTTGAAATTACAAATTATTAGAAATAGATGTGTTAGGTTCTCTGCTTATATCTCTCCATTACTGTAGCTCAAACCTTTTTAGTTTATAGTTCTCAGTCTCACTCCTAGAATAGGCCAAATCCTTCTCTAATCTAATCTTTTGCATGGGTGGTTTTTGTAACTCATGACCTTCCAACATCTAATTCTTCATTTAACAATTTTTGTAAGACTTCTCTTGTTAATTAGTGAGCAAAGTGCTTTGCAAAAAATGACCAATCCTTAATTTTAGATTGGAAATATTTTCATAATCATTTTTACATTAACTCATTATGTTTTTATGTTAACTCTTAATGCTATTTTTCTGTATATTGATAGCTTGGCTACTTAATAATGGGCAGGGCAGAGAAATCTTAGTACACCTGTCATGTCAATCTGAGGTCAGTTTTTATAGTAGATTATTTTCTAGAATAGTGGTCAAACTTTTTCTTACAGGGCCAGATAGTAAATATTTTAGGTCATGCCATGTTAGCATGAAAGGAGCCTAAGACAATAAATAAACACATTAGTGTAGATGTGTTCCAGGAAAACATTATTTACTAAAACAAGAGGCTAACCAGTTTGTCCAGTGGATTGTAGTTTGTTGACCACTGTTGTAAAATAACTATCACTATGCTATTGAAATAATATCTGTAGTGAGAATGTGACAGAGTACTAGGATATGCCATTTTCCAATATGTGCTTTAAATAGACTATCGTAAAAAAACACCACTAGAGAAGCTGCCCATGAGTTGGGCAAAACAAAGGCATGCACTTGCTCTGGTCTTGTAGGAAGCTGCCAGAAAGGTTGAAACATTCAACCACAGTTCTTTCATTATCAAATTTGCATAGCTCCCTCTAGTACTAGGAACACGAGCTGCCACTTTACTGTTGCAGTAGATCTAGAGGGTGAAGATGTTAGGTGGGCTATTTAAAATGCCACAGTGTGCTGTTAATTGTTATCACGCAGCAGATTCTGTCTTTATTAATCTTTCCTCTGTGTAAGTTTTGACTAGATTTCAGAGATCTGCAAAAGTTGTTTCTTAAAGTTTTTGCCAGCCTGTTTGTTGTTTTTGTGGAAGGGCAGAACCCTGTAGTTCCCTGATCTGCCATTATTGGTGTCACTACTACTCATGTACTGTGAAGACACTTTTAAAATTTTACTAAAAAAATTATATCTTTAAAAATAATTGAATGTAGAGAGCACAAAAACTAATAATGTTTTCAGACATATGCATGGAGGAATCACAAACCTCACAGTTCCTTTAAAGAAATAAACTCATTCCTTATTTCAGTACCAGAAGCATTTAGTAAATCCTAAATAGTCATTTTTCTCTTTTTCATTATTAGAAGGTGGTATGCATAATAGTAGCATACATCAGAATTGCTCAGTGTTGATTTTATGTTCTCTATATAATATAATTTCCATATCTTATGTTTATCGTATCTCTATTAAGTAATTTAATAGTATTTTCCAGAGTTACTTTGCAAAAGTAAATCATTGACTATATTACTCTTTTTGATTTTGTTAAGAAGGTTCAAGTAGAGTGAGTGTGGGTTCCTCATTTTCCTCTCTCGGCTCTCATCATATAAGTACAGAGATTTTGTCTTGTACCCTGTAAATTCACCCTAAAGAAAGGAAGTCTATGGTAGCCTATATACTTGTTTTAAGGCCAGGCCTAGTGGCTCATACCTGTATTCCTGCTATTTTGAGAAGCTGAGACAGGAGGCCCACTTGATCTCAAGAGTTCATGACCAGCCTGGGCAGTACAGGGAAGACCCTATCTCTACAAAAAATTAAAAAAAATTAGCCGAGCATAGTGGCATGCATCTGTAGTCTCAGCTAATCGGGAGGCTGAGATGGGAGGCTCCCTTGAGCCTAGAGGGGAGGGGGGTGGGAATACACACACACACACACACACACACACACACCCACCCCCCCCCCCCCCCGGTGTTACCTGTTATCTTAGTTATAAAAGTCACCTCAGGGTGCTTGGAGTAATGATGGTTGTTACCCACACCTGGGGCGGGAGACCTTCTGTCAATTATTTAGTTTCTGATTAATTTGTTTCTGAAGTTTTAGTTCTACCTCCACCATAGTAAACTGTTAAGTTTTGTTATCTCCTAATAGGCTTTTTAATTAAGTTGTTCTTAATTATGTCATCAGGAGTGTGACAGGTTTCATATTGAAAATAGTACTCTATTGCACATATTTTATGTTGAAATATATTGAACTTCATTTTCTGTTCCCATCTTTAAGGATAAACTGAGTGATTCACAAATTAACATTAGGCGGGAAAAGGAGATCTTTTGGGTAGGGTTCTTTTGATACTTTATATCCAGTGAGTGGTGGTATAGGTAATGTCTTTTTCTAGTTAGGCCATTTTCTGCAGTTATCTAATGGTTTTGAGAGAATTTTTTGAAGATAAAATTTTGTTTTCCTAAATTTCATGTCCAGCCTGCTGTATTTAATAGCTAATTTTAAGAACTAAATAAGGTATGGGCCAAAATGTTCAATAGACAGTCTTTATTTTTTATTAATTAATTAATCAATTTATTTATTTGTCTTAGTGTTTACTTTCCCCATCCCACATTCTTGGGATAGCCTTCACTTAAGTTCCACAGGAAATGGCTGGCGTTACCTCATGAAAGGGCTGTCAGAGCTGCCTGGGAAGAAGGTGTGCCTTGGGGAACTGGGAAGATGCCGTCAGTGTGGGTGGGCAAGAGGACAGCCAGTCATCCCTCTGCCAACCCAGTAGCTTCCAGAGGCAGATGCCTAGGTGCTACCAGGTCCCCTCACAGGGATAGGGGCAGGGACTGCACCTCCCCCAGGCACTGGTCGTAGGCTTCCTGGTACTCCTTGTGGGGCTTGACCATTATCACACAGGTGGGGTGCTTGGTGCCTGCGGCTGCACCCAGGTCCGTCTTAGAGGGGATATAGACACAGGGCAGATTTCGGTCCTCACACATGACTGGGAGATGGTAGTATACCTCAATGGGCAGTGTGTCTCCTGCCAAAACCATGATCCTTTTTTCTCCTTTGTTGACAAACTTCTGAACCTCTTTCACCCCGCGCGGAATCTGCTTCTGCTTCAGGGCTTTTTTGATGGATTTGTAGAGCTTCTGCGCCAGGCAGCGAGAAGCTAGGGGCTGCGCGATGGGGTTCTAGTTGACCAGAAGCTCCCGGTAGGTGCGCTCCCTGGAGCACGCCTACGCCTGAGCCTCGGGGCCGGTCCAGATCTCCTTTTATTTTGGTCATCGCAGCGGCCTCGGAAACCTAGTCCCAAGGGGGCGAGTCCATGCCGTCCGCAGCTTTAGGCATCACTCAACAGTATTTATTTTGTACTCTTTCAAAGGTTAAATTATTTTTTACAGCTGTCAGGCATACTACTTTAATAGTTCTTTATGTACTTTTAATTAATTGTGTGTTAAATTTAACATCACAAGTAGCTTATTAACAAATGTTTTGTTAAACTTCACTTAAAAATGCAGTAAATATCTGACAGTTTCTATACCTTCTTTTAATGAGTCTGATTAATTTGATAAATGTGAACACTTAATACGATACAATTCATATATGAATTTTGTATTTGCATACACATCAATAAGATTTATTTTTATGGTACATTAAAAAACTTAGTGTAATAGTACAGTCTACTCAAACATAAACCAAAACTGAGTAGAAATTTTGGTTATGGATTGACCATTTAAATGTAAAGTTTTGAGTTTTCTTCTCAAGCCCCTCCCCCCAAAAAAAGTAATCGATTTAAGCCATTTGCTATTGCCAAGGCAAATATAAATAGGTTTCATTTAGACCTTCTAAATTTATGGAAGCAATTAGAAATCAAAATTTAGAGCCTACTAGGAACTATTTTAGGGGAGGAAGTATGAGGTGGGTAGGGGTAGTTTAAGAATGGTTTTTAATGGTATTCTATGGAATTCATTTATAACTACTTGCAGTTCTTAAGTGGTTTATCTACTTTTAGAGGTGGCTGTTAAAGTTCTCTGCAAAGCCTAAGAGGGGCTGTTCTTACTAACTTCTAGGCAAGAGTCGAAGTTTAGGTGTGAGAGCAAGTGATGAAAATGCTAGGAACTATTTACATGCGTGGTCATTTCTTGCCATTTAAACACACATATACACACATTCACATAGATCAGGTTTATATTTATGCACAATCTGGCCTTTTAACAAAGAAAAATAAGCCTGTGTTTAGGCTGCCACTGATAAAAACAAAACAGCTGAGACTTTAATGAACACCATACTCAGGGCATGTAGGACATAAGGCGAATTAAGCAGGTTACAAACTGCACATCTTCTGTTTAGATATGGGAGATCTCCCCAATCCTGACAATTAGTTGTACTGACAAGGCAAGCAGACAGTCAGAAACAGAAGGAGATCATTTGTATCAATTTGAGAAACAGAACTAGTAATGAAAAAATAGCCACATAAAATAGTTTGTCTTTTGCTTTAAAATTGTTCTTTCTCTATATTCGCTCCAAAAATAAATACACACTGGTAAACAAAAGCTTCTTTTGTTTGCAAATAAAGACCAACTTAGTTTTTATTTTTATTTTTAAAAAAAGATTTTTCTGGACACTCAAACGAATTTTAATCTTGGTAACCTGACAGCTTTGTTTAAACATTGAATATGAGTTCCCTTTCATGAAAATCTTTTCAAAGTATAGTGGTTCAGCTGTGAAAACCTGCATACATTAATGATGACAAAGAAGCTCCAGAATGAGCCAACATTTGTTTTGTTCTCTTTCAACATTTCTTGATAAATTGCATACACAAAAGTATTGCAGGGTTATTTTAATTTCTCCTTATTTCTTTGCTAATAAATGTCTTTGTGTTTACCCTTTTACATCCAATACCCTACTATTAATCACTTTATATTATTTATTTTTAAATGACTTTAAGAATTTTTTTTTTAAACTATGCCTTAAAGGTACATATTACAGGGAACATTTGAACAGTTGCTTTTGGTGTATGGGATTACACATCAAAATCCATGACTCTAAGTTTTGGATCACTGTTTTCTATAGTAAACCACTTGCAATACTCAGACAATTGTGTTCTGAAGGAGTTTATTTAAGGATCATTTTCTTTGGAGCTTAATTTATTTAAAAAAATGAGTTGGCCAGGCATGGTGGCTCATGCCTGTAATCCCAGCACTTTGGGAGGCTGAGGCAGGTGGATCGTCTGAGGTCAGGAGTTCGAGACCAGTCTGCCAGACAACATGGTGAAACCCCATCTCTACTAAAAATACAAAAATTAGCAGGGCGTGGTGGTGCATGTGTGTAATTGCAGCTACTTGGGAGGTTGAGGCAGGAGAATTTCTTGAACCTGGGAGGTGGAGGTTGCAATGAGCTGAGATCGAGCCACTGCACTCCAGCCTGGGCAACAAGAGCAAGACTCCATCACAAAAAAAAGTGATTTGCCACAAATGCAATATTGAAGTATTTTAATACAACGCATTTTTAAGGCTTTATAGCATACTTATTCTACATAGTCATTCTTATGAAATGTGGCATGGTTAATTTTTCTGAAATAAATGTTTCCTTTGTGAGAAGTTTTTATTTTTGAAATTTTATGTGTGTGTCCTGTCTTGTTTTAAAAAGATAAGAGGCATCATTTGGGACATACTCTGTGAAGATAAGCTTTTTCTTTTCTTTTTTTTTTTAAGATACAGGTCTCACTCTGTGGCCCAGGCTAGAGTGCAGTGGCATGATCATGGCTCACTGCAACCTCTACCTCATGGGCTCAAGTTGTCATGGAATACTTGGGGTGTTGCTTTGCCAGCCAGGAACTTTTGTGGCAGACAGCACCTTCTACCCCAGTACTGCTTGCGCCCACCAAACTTGTTCCACCCACTTGGCTTGGCAGGCTCTGCTTGGCTTATGCTACTCGCCCAAATCCCATGCCTAACAAGGGCAAGCCAGGCACAGAGTGGAGTGAGTGTGGAGTCTGGCCACTGGGTACAGCCAGGCACATTGGTTGCTTCAGCGGGGCGGGCAGCCCTAGGTGCTGGCACAGACCCTAACTCTGTGAAAGGCTGCAGCTGGATCAGATGTACTGCAAGCGACTTCTGTCGTGGCCACCTACATCTTGGCAAGGGGGATGTGATGACACGTAGAAGCTTGGAGACACCAGGGACCACAGAGCCCCAAAGAGGTTGTCACAGCCCTGGTTTGGGGAGCCCCTGAGTCTGGAGTCCCCAAAGGGCCCTGGCTCTTCTCTCCTTTTGGTTGCCAACAACATGGCTAGGAATGTTGTGGGGGCATGTTTCAGCCATTTGCATTATAGCTCTTTTAGTCCCGACATTCGGCAGGTCCCAAGTTCTTGTCCTGCATCTGGGAAGAATGAGGTATGTGGACAACTGGAGGGTCAGCAAGGCAGAGAGGAGCTTCAGTGAGTGACAGCAGCTCTAGAGGGATCAGAAGTGGTAGCTCCTTTCCACAGGCACGTCATCCTGATGAGTGTCCAGCTCTCAGTGGAGAGGAGACTGGCCGTGGGCAGCTCCTTTCTGAAGGCAGGTCATCTGAACAAATGTCCAGCTGTCAGTGAAGATGAGACCTGGAGTGGTTAGCTCCTTTTCACAGGCATGTTGTCTCAGTGATTTGAGGAGACTTAAGTGGGTAATTGCCTCCCGTACCTGGTAATCCTGGCAGGGTCCAAGGTTTTTATGGGCTCAGAAGTGAGGAAGTACCTGTTGATTGGTCCATGGGCAGGGAAAAAGCACCATAGGTTCTTAGTCCTGGCAGAGGACTTTACCCAGAAGTGACAGTCCTGCCCCCAGGCTTCAGGCCATACATGGCTTGAAGGTGGGGCTTCACTGGGGACTTGCCTGTTTCTGCCCAGGACCATGTCTGCCTCCTGCCACCACCAACCTGTCATCCATGGCACCTAGGCTGTTTGAGCCGAGGGGTGCTTGCAGGCACACACTGAGCCATCCGTAGCCCCCATCACCCTCCCTCCTATGCTCATGGTTGCCCAAAGTCCAGAAGGGGCTGAGGTGGCAGGAGGCTGGCATGTCAGTGCCGCCCCATGTGTAGACACACCAAGCTGGGTTGTGACATCACCTGGGCTCAGCCACATCTTTGCTTCACCCCTGAGAGGATACCAGGAGCAGGGAGAGGCCAGGCCACAGCAGCAGGCACTTTCAAGACTGTGGGATAAGGGGCTTCCTAGGACCCCAAGAGTGCAGGAATGCCTCAGTCTGGAGCTGCAGCTGAGTGGCTGTAGCTGTGCCCCAGGGCAAGGAAGGGGTCCAGCCCCGCCTACTCGGTAGGGAGAGGGGCTCCCGCCTGTTCTTGGCTCCTGCGGGCTCACAGAGCATGCAGCCCCAGCCAGCACCTCCCCTGCTGCACTCAGCATCTTCACAGTGGCTCCTCCAAATGGGCCACTGCTGCCATTAACGGTGATCTTCCCACCTCCGTCTCCTGAGTAACTAGGACTACAGATACATAAGAACCATGCCTGGCTATTTTTTTAATTTCTTTGTAGAGATTGGATCTCACTCTGTTGCCCAGGCCAGTCTCAAATTCCTGGACTCCATCCACGTCAGCCTACTAAAGTGCTGGGATTCAGGCGTTAACTATCATGACTAGCCTCTTTCCTGATTTTTAAAGTTTAAACATGTTTATTCCATTTACAAAATGCTTTTCAGTAAAAATGTATCACAGAGTTTTGCGAATTTAGTATTTTTTTTTTAAATAATTTCTTGAACTACACCTTGGTATATTATTGTTTGAAGATATTTTCCTCCCCTTCCCAGGCACAACCATGCCTGGCTAATTTTGTATTTTTAGTATAGATGGGGTTTCATCATGTTGGTCAGGCTGGTCTCAAACTCCTGACCTCAGGTGATCCACCCGCCTCGGCCTCCCAAAATGCTGGGATTACAGGTGTGAGCCACTGTTCCCAGCCAGGAATGGTTTCTTAAAGCATCTCTTTGAGTAATTTGACATTTAAGGAGGCTTGATAGAAAAGTTCCAGGGAAGAAGCTAAGTGTTCTCAAGAAGAATGACACAGAGGCCATTCATACCCCATTTTTTGGTGGGTAGGGATTTAACTGCATAGGCCACTTGCTTGGCAAGGCAGCTTTTTGTCTACCAAGGGCAATCTGAAGAGCCTACATGTGTGAACCTCACATATGTGCAGCCTTTCAGTAGCAGGGGATGGCTGTGCCAGGTGGTAAAGAGAATTTTCGGGGGCCGGGGTGGGGAGCAATAACAAGGTCTCCTATACCTTCCCTTTATTGAAAGCTGCC